ACATTGATACAGTAAATTATTTGACAATTATAACAACAGGCTTTATAGTTTATAAAGTCATTCAAAATATTTTGCCTCTATCAATATGAATATTATTTAAACATTCTTGTAATTCAGTAAAGAGTTAAAATGTTAAATCTGAGGCACTGAAATACAGCATTTAAATCTTCCGGCATTCTGGTATAATATACTCTCCCTGATTTCTGATCGAAAATCTAATATTTAGTTCAAGTTTTCATTATTTTCTTATTGAAAAATGAAAACATTTGACTCAGATAATTTCTGTGATTTTAGCTTAACTATATATCATATGTTTTCATATGCTTGAATTTTAGTTTTTATGACTACTGGATTTAAATTATTTAGAGGACTGTTTTAAATGCCCAAGATAATACTGTGGCTTTTTTTCCATAGGTGTTTACTTATGCTTTTATTCCTTATTTCATGACTTGTTTCTAATTTGTAATTTTTAGAAGGTATTAGGGTCATTTATAATACAATATAAATCCTTGAAAAGAAAAGATATTATCTACTCTTTAGAGACTACAGTACTTATGTACTATATGTTGTTAATTATATAATTCTAATTTTGTTGTCACTTACTTGATCTGTGATGTGCAAAGACAGTTTAAATAGTCTGATATGTAATTCTTATTGTGTTTCCTGAAGTTATTGTGTCTTGTTTTTTTATGCTGTTTTATTTGGAACTATGCTTTTTGAGAATTACATGACTTGGATTTCATTTAATGCTTTAGATTCTGAGATCAATTTTGTCTGCTGTCAATACTGATGACCCTAACTTTTTTATTGGTTATATTTGCCTCATGTATTTATGCTCATATTTTTACATTCAAAGTTCTTAGGCGTATGTCTTGTATTTTGTTTTATTATCCAAACTGAGTTTTTAATTAATTTAATACTTGATTTTATACCATTTTATGATCTTACCATACAAGCGTGACTATAAATGTCAGACTATTAGATATTATATTTTATGGTTGCTTGTTATTTGAAGTGTTTTATATACAGACATTTGCTGATTTAAATTTCCTCCTAATTTTTTCATGCTTCCTCCCTCATTCTTTTATTTGAAATCGATTTTTAAATTAGTTGCTTACAGTTTATAGAATTTTATATTTATAGCATTTCTTTTATGAATTATATGTTACATGGCCTTTCATTTTATAATAAGAGTTACCAATCATCTTGATTCTATTGCCTGTGTAATAATTTCAGTTCCCTCCACTCCCTTCCAGTCTATGCCATGATAGAGTTTCATTTCAGAGTTCCTTATTGGGCACCAAATCTTGGTCAGATAGCACACCTTATTGAGAAGGATTTTTCAAGGAGAACTCGTGGGTGCTTTATTATCTGAATTTTTTATATTTTTAGGTGTCTGTTCTTGTTATAGATGGATAAAATGTGGCTAAATATAAGATTCTTGGGTTATGTTTCAGAAAACTATAGATCAGCACCATCCAGTAAAACTTTCTGATCTACACATGCCATATCCAGTAGAGTAGCTACTAGTTTTGTGTTGTTTTGTTTGATTATTCGTTTGCTTAATGAATTTTGAAGTTCAATGATTGGGTATATATGTAATTATTAATAGTATTATGATAATTTTCTGATTTGGCCCTTTTATTATTATAACAATTTCTCCTTTTCACTTAGAACACTCTTGGTGTTGTCTACTTTTATTATGACATTGCCACACCAGATTTCTTGTGTTTACTCTTTGCATGCTACATATTTTTTTCCACCTGTTTACTTTAAACCTATTCATATCTTTACATTTCAAGTATGTTTCTTGTAACTGGCACATAAGGGGCTATGGGGAGAAATAGAAAAGTGGGATTACATGGGATTACAAGGGATAACAAGGAAATTTTTGGGGGATGATGGTGTGCTCACTAACTTGAAAGTGGTAGTGTTTCTGCAGATGACATTTATCAAATCTTACACTTTAAATGCACTTTGTTTATTGTATATCAATGAAGTCTCAATAAAGAGAATCCACCTCTTTTACTTACTTGCTTCAGTTTCTTCTCAATTTAACACAGGCAAAATTATAGTTTCTCTGTAAGTCGGCAATTATGATCAAAAGAAGCAATGCATAGCACTATTCACCATAGTCACAATATGGAAACAATCTTGACTCTTGATGAATGAATAGATAAAGAAGATGTGATATCTATACACAGTGGAATACTATTCAACCTTAAAAAGAAGATAATTATACCACTTATGACAATATGGATGAAACTGGAAGACATAATGCTAAGTTTAATAAACCAGGCACAGAAAGTACTGAATGATCTCATTTATATGTGGATTCTAAAAAGGCCAGATTCAAAGAAACAGAGAGCAAAAGAGTAGTTACCAGGGGGGATGGGTTGAGCGAAATGGGAAGGTGTTGGTTAAAGGATATAGATGTTCAATTATAAGATGAATACATTCAGGAAAACTAATGTACAACATGGTGACTATACTTAATAATATTGTATTATATACTTGAAATTTGCTAAGAGAGTAGATTATAAGTATTCTCAGCACACACACAGGAAAACACACACACAGTTAACTATGTGAGGTAATGAATTAATTAGCTTGATTATGGTATTCATTTTACAAAGTCTACTTAACATTAAAACATCACATTTACACCTTAAATATATACAACTTTTATTTGTCAGTTATATCTCAATAAATTTGGAGAAAAATTGGACAATGCATGAGAAGCATCTGTAACTTGGTGAGTGCTCACTGAATATTTGCTTTTATATTTTACATATTTTGGAGTTTCTATTACATTGATTTATCATGTATACACCATTATTCAAAATTTTACAAAGCGTATTACAGTTTCATAAATTGCAAATACATCACTTAAACCTCCTTCTTTATTATTCTTGATTTCCAAATGTATTTTCTATTCTTCCTAGGGGTTTTGGTCTCTCCACCCACAGTCATTAACAGAATACCTTTGCTATTGTCATTGAAATTACATCAAATTTCAAATTATTTCAAAGGAGAAATGTTATCATTATGAATTTATTTTGAGTAATTAACATTGTAATTTTATCAGAAAAAAACACTTTAATTATATTACCGAACTATTACTTCTGAATATGATGCCAAATGAGTGGTTTAACTTAATTTTTAAATTTAAATCTGTTACTTGAAATTACTATACTAGTTTGGATTTGATACACTAATTAAATATGTGTAATAGAATCACCTGTTTTGAATTGAAAATTGCTTCTGTAATTGTTCTCCATCTTATAGATCCTACCATTCTAGTCTGCTTTGGAAATATTCTGTCGGTAGATGACAAACCTCGCTGCATTTAGTTATTAGAAAATCATTTTTCCCAGATTCCCACTGAAGTGAAACAAAAGGCTAAGCAAAAATTGTGAGATATCTCCCTTCAAAAACGTATATTCTGCTGTTCTTTATATCATAGTCCACAGCTAGGAGTTAACACATCAAAAAGTGTTCTTAATGAAGGCCAGCTATTATAATATCTCACTATAAAATTGCAATAAAATTGAGATTTTTAAATGTGCTCCTGGAACAAAATGATCAGTATATGTGGAACTCAGCTTATTACGGCACCTGCTGTGGCTCTGACTGAAGTCAAGAGGCTGATAGATGAGCTTTGTCTATTCAGGTCTTAGGGGCCTCGAAGTCACTTAGATGGATGACTGCTTATGGAGAACAACATAACATTTTTGTACAGGACGAGAAATCTAGCTTGGCGCCAATAGACTGCAATGCTTGCCTAAACTCAATATTCAGATCATGACTATTTAATTTATCTGTCAATGACTTGTTCCTGATTTGCATTACACCTATTTGGCATCTCTATGCAGACGGTATAGTCTAGCAGTTTTGTATTCAATGTAATGGAAGAGTGTTCTGAGCATTTATGAAACATTTTTTTTCTAATCCAATTTTTATTTCATTGAGACATTTATGTTTTAATTGATGCAGCTAGAATTCAGATACAGTGACATATGAACTAAAACCCATAAATATTCCCATAACTTGGCAGTCCAATGGTAGTTTAAATTAACCTATGGGATTCAAGTGTTAAACCAGTACATCAAACAAAACAGAGTAAAAAAGAAAGTACTTGTAAACAGGTCTAATACTAATACAGAATACATTCTTAAATTTTATGTAATAGATAGGCTCCCATTCATAACTAAACAGAATATAAGGCCATACTCTTAGAAGCTTTTTGAAATAATATGCTCCTTCTAAGTTATGATAGAACGATGCTAAATCATACATTTATTATATTAAATAATATTTGGCAAAGGCCCTCGATATGTTTTATTTTAATAATCTATGTTTAAGATAAAACACTATTAACTTGCTTCCTACTGATATTATACAGGCCTAAAGCTTTGGTGAAACAATCAACAGAGAAAATGATGTTTAGGATAATAAGTTGTGATAAATGTATTAGTCAGCTTAGGCCGCATAGCAAAATACAATAGACCAGGAGGATAAAACAAAAGAATTTATTTATCACATTTCTGGAAGCTAACAAGTCCAATATCAAGTTGGCCACTAAGTAAGTTTCATTCTGAAGTATCTCCTCTTGACTTGAAGAGAGCCACCATCCACTGTGAACTCACATGACCTCTTCTTTATGCAAATGCTCAGAGAGAAAGCAAGTTCTCTGGTGTCTTTTCTGAGAAGACACTAAGCCCATCAGACTGAGACCCCACCCTCATGGTGTCATCTAATATTGATTACCTCCCCGAAGTCCAATTTCAAAATACCCACATTGGCTCTTAGAACTTCAACATGTTATTATTATTATGTATTATTATTATTATTATTTTGTGACAAAGTCTCAAAATACTGAGGCTGGAGTATAGTACTACAATCATAGTTCGCTGCAGCCTGGAACTCCTGGGCTCAAGCCATCCTCCCACTTCAGCATCCCTAGCAGCTGGGACTAAAGACAAAGTCCAATTGGGCAGATTGCTTGAGCCCAGGAGTTTGAGACCAGCTTGGGAGACATGGTGAGACCCTGTCTCCAGAAAACAATTAGAAAGATATTGTGGGACGAATAGTTAAGCCCATTTTAGAGACTTTACCATACTTAAAAATTGTCCTCCAAAAAGGTTGTATTAGAGTACATCGTCAACATGGCACATGAGTGTTTATGTCTGAACCTTCTCTAGGTTAGTGCACACTTGCAGGTAGTGTCGTTCTGTTGAAACAGCCGGAAGTCACATCTTAAAGCAAATCTGATGAATCAAGAATTTGTTGAACCGAGTTAGATTTGGTTTCTTTCTGCAGAATCTGTCTGTAAACACCAAAACATTTAGTCAGCTTATAAAATTCAGTAAACAAATTAAATTTATTATAGATTTACTTTTTAGAAATAAATTCAGTTGACATGATAATACAGATATATTTAATAACAAAGGTAATAAATGTTAATAATAAATATTTGATAATAAAGAAATATTTGCAAAACTACAAGTTTAAAACTTTTATAAACTTATAAACCATGGCAAATAATTTGCCATTTTATTTAAAAATGTCACTTATTTTCTAATAAAGAAGTGCTACCCTTCTACTATAATCTTAATCCTGATAGGCAAATTGTCACCCTGGTTGAAAACTGTATAGTAGCTTTGATTCACTGTCCATAGCCACCTGTTATCAAAAACAAAGCATTAGATGGTGTTAATAATCCCTACTTTGAATGTTGCTTGACTTCCATAGCATCAGTTGAAATAACTATGTCCACAGAAATTAACTTTAAAAATGATACAAGTTTATTGAAAAAATATCCATCTGCCTTCTATATGAGATAAGAGATTAACCACTTACTAATTTAATCAGCCTTTAAATTTACTCTTTAAAAATATCTGGAAAAATATTTTAGTATCTCATATAGAAAGAACGACATTATCTGCAATATCTGAATCTGTGTGATGATTCTTTCAGGATTGGTTTAATATGATTCAGGGTGGTCAATTAAATAAGCTCTTCTATTGTTCTGGCTGAATAGTGATTTGATTTTCCAAGCCTACTAATCCATTATTTTAATTAGCATTAAATTCGTAAAAAAAAAAACTAAATAGGTTTTAAAGGATCTTAAAAACCCCGAAATAAATACCACAAATGCAATTATCAGAAGGAAAGACAATAATAACTCTCATTTGGGTAATAAAGTAGAACTGCTTTCACGGAAAATAATTAGAGCAATAAACACACACTTTAGACATATTTAGAAGTGTTTGAATGCCACATGGATTACTGCCACCTTTGGGAAGAAACTTGGAATGTAGTTGACAAGAAAGATTTGATTTTTTGATTTATTTATTCAGTCCATGCCACAGAGTTCATGCAGAAGCAGTAAGGTAGCATAATTTAGAAAATTCAAAAAGACTCTCAAAGCCAAACACACACACACACACACACACAAATAACTAAATGCCCACCTATATTTTGGGAGATTGGGAGAGAGATTCAAGGGAAATTTTCAAAATCCAAAGAAGGTTATTAAATTATTCTAATGTTAGAGGAAAATAACGCACCAGAGCAAGTGGTGAAAGTTTCTTTATATATTTAACTCTATGGTACTGCAGCTGTTGCTGTAGATATTTAAGTATGTGTTATCCAGGGATTTTCCTGGATAACATGGAAGAGTATTCTGTAGAATACTGTTGAATAGAAGAATGAATATGAATATGAATAATAAATTCATACAGAATATAGATAATTTGGGGAAGGAAGCAAATACAGCATTAGAACAATGATGCTTAAGTCAAAGCACTATTCATACTTTCTTAGGTGTTTTCCACATTTATTGTTTCCACTTTCTCATCATCTGTTGACTTTTGGCACATATCTATCCCCTATTTTAATTTTTAAAAATTTTATCCTGACTTGTTTGCTATTATAAATAATGCTATAATAAACATTATTTTAGCTAAAACTGTATACACCCTTAACATTTTTATTTCATTTAAGGTAGATTCTCAGAATGAATGGGGTGACTTAAATGCATCAAAACAGGGATAGAATAAATAGGTAAGTTTATGGGAAGAACAAATCCATCTCACTTTGAACATCTCTGAGGGAATAAGGGAGACAGCACTGGGCAGTGGGAAAGGTGAACTACCATGCAGCTGTATGGGGGTTCACACCTGTAATCCCAGCACTTTAGGAGGCCGAGGCAGGTGGATCACCTGAGGTCGGGCGTTCCAGACCAGCCTGACCAACATGGAGAAACCCTGTCTCTACTAAAAATACAAAATTAGCCGGGCATGGTGGTGCATGCCTGTAACCCCAGCTACTCGGGAGGCTGAGGTAGGAGAATCTCTTGAACCCGGGAGGCAGAGGTTGCGATGAACTGAGATCGCGCCATGCACTCCAGCCTGGGCAACAAGAGCAAAACTCCGTCTCAAAAAAAAAAAAAAAAAAAAAAAAAAAAAAAAAAAAAAAAGTAACATAAAACTGAGTAATGCTGCAAAAAGAAAACAAAAGAGTATCAAGGAGTAGCTAAAAGTAAACACTAACTCATATTAGTATTCTTACATTGAAATAATTATTTCACACACCTCTTCGAACATTTATTAAAAGGACTTCTAAAGTATGAGGTCATTAGTATATAATGCATTGTTTTAAATATCAGCACTCCTTCTAAAGTCATGTCATATTATGGTGCACTAATTTGTATAACAGGAGAAAAATATCATATTACATTCATGACTTTGAACTGTACATATAAATATTAATGAAGTCTCTCTGTTTTCTTCCATTCAGAGAAAACCAATATTTATATTAATGCTACTTACTCAAAAACAGGACATCATCATGTCACCCTCATCATCCAAAACGTTTATTAAGCACACATATGATGCTTTTCTTTGGGGATTGTCTAATTCAGGGCTCAAATTCTCTCATGGTGATAGCGTATGACGCCAGAAAAAAATAGTAAGAACACAGCCTACTTGCAGATATTGTGTTTAGGCATATGCATCTCTCATATACTTGTACTATCTACACTTCTGAGCCTGGACCAAGCCATTCATCATCATTATTACACACATAGCCAGTGATTATGATATTTACATACCTTAAATGATCCTTTGAAAAGCATCAGCTGAGGAAATGACTATTCGCTTGAACAAAATATCTAGAAGGTGAGTGGCTAGTAACTGATGAAGTCATCCTGACTTTGATGCAACCTTTGACTTTACAGAGATCCCTGATCCACTGACCACATTAATTTCTTATGATCTCTCAATTCCCTCCAGGTATCACTATCCTTCTTATCTAACACAGATTTCACAATTTATCATCATCTTCACTGTTTTTTTCAAATATTCTCAAATTCTTGCCTTTTACACTCATTATTTTCAAGGGAGAAAAGTCAAAACTGGGATAATTCTTACTAGCTGTCTTCTTTTTAATATCACTAGACTTGGTGAGAAATCACACAACCAGCTCACTAGGTGCTGCATTCTCATTTCAAGATCAAATACCACCAATCAGCATTCAATACAATTTGCCCTATTTCTTAATTTCCCCAAAGCCTAGCATTCCTAACCCTCTTCTTCTCTTTTTTTTAAAACCACCTGCCCTTTCTCTACCCTCACTTTCAATTGATGATTAATTCTAACCTTACACTCCACTGAAAAAGCAACAGTCCTCAAATGTGAATTTCCTCATCTTTTCTCACCACCAAACATAGAAATCTACTTATATCACCAAGAACTTTTCCCCTTCTCTTTGCTACTAAAAGAGATGGCATCCATGTTTATTGCAGCAAACACCAGCCTCTTCTTTGCTCCAAGCCCTATCTCGCCACCTTCTTCTGGTTCATTTTCAGTGTTCTTATATGCACACAACCAAGTCATAATGAGCCGCGTTCATGAGCAAAACAGCAAGGAAAGCTCCCTTTTATCCCTAATATCCTTTAAATTCCACTTTATTCTTCAGCCCTCTGTCTAAGCAAAATTTCTTAAACATGTTGTTTTGATTCACTGAATCAATTTCCTCATGTGATATTGACTTTGACATACTCCAATCTGGTTTCCACCCTTTGCATGTTATTACACTATTTTTCCAAAATATCAATCACCTCTGTCTTGCTAAATAGAAAAGGAAGTTTTTCTTTGTTGTTGTTGTTTTGTTTTGTTTGTTTGTTTTTGGAGACACAGTCTTGCTCTGTCACTTAGGCTGGAGTGCTGCTGTGGTGTGATCTCAGCTCACTACAATCTCCACTTCCTGAGTTCAAGCGATTCTCGTGCCTGAGTCTCCCAAGTAACTGGGATTACAGGCACCCGCCACCACTCCCAGCTAATTTTTGTATTTTTAGTAGAGATAGGGTTTCACCATGTTGGCCAGGTTGGTCTTGAACTCCTTACCTCAGGTGATACCCCTGCCTCAGCCTCTCAAAGTGCTATGATTACAGGCATGAGCCACCACGCCCAGCTGGAAGTGTCTTAACTTCAATGTACTAAATCTTTTGTGTAAAGTGACCTGTCAGCTATTCCCTTTTTCTTTAGAGTCTCTACTCTCTGTTTCTGTGATACCACACTTTCCTGTCTTTTTCTCTGTTATTCCTGTGCGTCTTCCCCTGGTTTCTATTTCTCTATCTGCCTGTAAATAATTATATTCCTATGAATATGGACCTGGTTCCTCTTCTTTTTTACTCCTGTACTCTCTTCCTGATTAGCTCATCTAATTTCATATTTTTCAATGCTATTTCCTGGTAACAGTTCATATCTTTGTATTTCTACCCAGGATCTTTCTTATGAGCTCCAGGTTAACATATTAATATATTCAACTTGTCTAACATTTCTAATGAGATATTTCACAGATATCTCAAACCTAGCTTGTTCACACGGAAACACTTGATTCAGATCATGGTGCTTCAGTCAACCCACAGAGACTTCTTTTTCCATCTTAGCAAATGATGAACACGATCATCTGTCCAGTGATTAAAGTCAGGAACCCAGCCACCACGCCTTTCTATATCATCAATTTTATCTTCGAAATGTCTCTGAAATCTGTTCACTTCGTGTCATATAAGTCAGCTTCCATCCTAGTCCAATCAACATCATAACTTACTCCTCCTCTCAAGAGTCATCTTTTGACATAAAAATTGGATTATAATACTCCCCAGCATAATAATTTACCATTGTATTTATAATAAAATATGGAATTTTCCCTGGTTTTACATAAAAATACATGCCACTTTGAGGGAATTTCAGTCTCACCACATTCCATCGTCTTCACGCTCCAACTCCATCTTTGTTTTCACCATCTCCCTAGGCTCACTCT